ATCACTGAAACGTTGAAAATTAAAATTTTTCTTATTGGTCACGTCTGAAAGTTTGTGATTAAACATTTCATTAGTAAACCTCTCTTTTGCAAAGAAAATCTGGCTACAGTTGCTCTTTACTTTATACGTGCAGTTGATTTAACCAAAAACCTCGTTCAGGGGTTATTTTACAGAATTTCTGTGTTTCGTACGTGCCTTGGTTCACATCCTCTTATTTTCCCTTCTGTCCTAAATAATCTACTCTGACAAACTTCCGTGGATGATCAATGTCTTCTGTCAGAGATATTGTTTCTTCCTAGCATGGGACTACTCACCATGTACTCACTAGTCACTAGCTTTGTGAGGGAATTCTCCGATTTCTAGTAAGAATCCGTGACCAGTCAAGCTAATCCCTGTCGAGTAGTGACAGGTATTTTCCTCAGTACAATGGAAGATAGATACTCAATTTTGAGGAATGGTTGGGGTCAGACATTGACACCGTTAAGTGCCGACTCAGTGGTTTGGAAGTTAAGTGTTCGCGAGCGAGACTGAAGGTCCGAGGTTCGAATACCGTGGATAAGATCGCGGATATACACTTCTGAGGAGCCCCACAATAGGATGAAACGGCTGTCCAGTGCTTCCAGGTTTTCCATAGTGGTCTAACACCAATCGGTTAATGATCTCATTTAAATAAAGAACGAACAACTGTAATGCCAGAGCTTAGGTTAGTGGGAAAATAAGAAACAAAACAAAGATACAAGCAAAGATCATACGGTTATGGGTAAGAACCAAGAAACTTTCAGGTCGTCAGAAAGACTAATTGGCCAGTTGTTTTGGAATCGTCATAGCTAACTCTTACCTAATGATGTTCAGGCAAACAATGGAGGCTCCCCAAATAATCCATTCAGCGCAGCGATCGCAGCAGTTTCAAGATCCTTATCTTGATCTACAAATATTCGCAATTATCTTATAACCGTAAGCACATCGCATTAGAATAAAAAATTATGACATAAAATAAGTACAGAGTCCTACGTCATTTTCCTTTCCGAATACTCTCGCCACTTCCATAGGATACTTCCGAAGGTAAAAATAGACAAACTAAAAGATGTTTCCACAAACCGGCGTGAGACCGTTTGCACAATCCTGGAGATATGTTTAGTTTTATCCTTTAGGTTTCTGTAAGGACTAGCTGAACAACCTTTGGCAATAGATAACTCTGTAACGTGATTAGGTCTACGGAGTAATTAGTCCGTAGTGGCATTGAATCCTAACCACAATCCGCAAAGCTGAACATGAGATAACTGGGAAAATAGACTTTCAACATGTAACACTAAGAGAAGGTCAATAATGGTGAAGGTGGGAACATTCATTCGAAATTCAATTCATCGCATGACATGGCTCAGCCTTGCAGGCGTGATCATTCTTAAGCAACTTATCTCTTTTATTCATATTGAGTATATTGTTCTATCTATTGACACGCAGTACATGTTTTCTATTCGGTCTATAGATAAATTGAGTTGTATGAACGTAATAAAATGTAATCGAACGTCTAGTGTCATCGTGAAGTCCGAAGTTCCTGACTATACAATAAGACCTGAACCCGGAAAGATACAGTAACACAACAGTTCATTACATTAAAAAGTTTATTTATAAATGATGAATTCTGTATTTTAATGTAGAAACTGCCTAAAACAATGTGTACGACTGTTACCAAGTGGTTAAACATAATAAAAAATTAAACAGATCATACCTGGATAATGCTATCTACAACAAGTACAGTCGCTGTCGCAGCAGCAAAATTATGAGACCAACCACAAACAGTAAGCAGTTAAACGTTAAGAATAAACATTAACTACTAGGCAGAATGTTTAAACGATTCCATCAAACCAAGAATAATATTCTGTACGAAGAAACAAAATATCTCCGGTTAGATAGATCCGAAACGAGTGTTTAACTGTCCAAAAGCAATAAACTTTCCTGATTATTAGAAAATTAAATATCTGTCATATCAGAGATGATTTCATATAACTAAATCAAACGGAACCAGCCAACAAAAGGGTCGCTTAATTCGGTAGCAACCAAAAATCGGAATTTGAGTAAATGAAGAGTGAAACAATAACCGAAACCGCAATAACATCCTAGAGGACCACAATTTAGAAATAGTAAACGACATAGTGATAATAATTGGGAATAAACCCAAAGAGAAGCAAAATATGAGTCAGCACAGTCAACAACAGGAGACAAAGTAAACATAAAGGAAGAAAAAGGGAATGGTCTTAAAGACAAATTGTGAATTTGAAATAATGTAACGAAATAGTTCCAATCCCAAAAAGTCTAGAACTTCGAAAAGACACAAGCGAAAATTCAAATTCGAAGTACTTAGTATGGAATTGTATTGTATTATTATGGTAGGTTTAAACACAACATGAAATATTCAACTGTACAGTAAATGTATTGGTTGGTCACCACACAAATGAGAATGAATTCTACAGTCACCAGAAATATCAATGAGGGATAAACGTTAACGACTGACTTTCAAGTGTTTTTCTTTATATTTATTAAAAATCAGATTTAAATAATTCAACTGGGTAGTATTAGGCATTATTTAATCAGTGAATTACTCCACAAACAAAAGTTACAGTATCATATGATATGGCCATTAGAAGTATTCGAATTATTGTATCACCCAGGAATTTTGAGAGCAATGCAATTTAAGACAAATAGAACTATGTGAGCACAAACGAATTTATTGTATTTAGCATTCGAAATCAGTCAGGAATCAAGAACAAAACAACCATTATTTCATACAAACACTACAGATGAACAAAGTGTTATCACCAAAAAAATGTAACTTTTCTTAATAAGTTATATGATTACTCGGTCCTAACAAACATAAGATTCATTTAATGTAATGCTAAATATGAACCATCTGTAACAAAAGAGCCAGTCTAAAATTATTTATAGAATTCTAGGTTTCAGTCATTATTTTGAATTAGTTGTTTTTTAGATTTCACTCAAGACTTGCTAAGTTGGTATGTGCCGAGTTATTCATCATAATGATCACAATAACTACCTTATGTTTCACGCATATGAGTAGTACTTATTATTATTAGCATGTGTTAAAGATAGAAGATTTAATGATTGGATGAATTCATAATTATATAAATACATTGGGAACGTCCTGGACATTTGCTTTAACAAAAAATTATTTGGATGTGTTTCCCAATTTCGTGTATTGGTTGAAGTTAGACATTAACACCGTTGGATGCCGGCTTAGTGGTCTAGATGTAAAGCGTTCACGCGCGGACCGATAAGTCCTGGATTAGAATCTCGCGGAGCGGGATCGTGGATGCGCACTACTGAGGAGTCCCACACTAGGACGAAACGGCCGTCCAGTGATTCCAGGTTTTCCATGGTGGTCTAGCTTCAACTGACTCATGATCTCAACTATTAAAATGACTATAATATCCACAAAACCCCTTCTGATGCCAAATATTTTCTGCAACGTACTATGAAGTTGTTTTTGTTTTCAGAGAATAACTTATCCAGCAAACTTTATAATTCTAGTCTTTAAAGCAGTCAAGTTGCCTGGTGGAACAATAAAATATTCACAATTAAACGGTTCATTTCAAACAACAAAATATCTTTATTTGGGAAGTGTCCTTCCAATAAATCAATATATCCGAGTACATTTAGTATTTCGACACTTTCCTTATGATTGGTTGTTTGTGGTGTAGAATTAAGGAAGTTTATTATTCAAAATAAAATTCTATGGTAGGTGATGAAACTAAACTATACTAACTAATCTGAATGAATCAATAAGTTTTGAGATAGCACCTCCTTGATTTATCCACGAAATAGATGGCAGCGTTTATCGTATTAAGAAAAAGGAGATATATTACTATAGTTCCTGAAATGGTTAAAATTAGTGAAAATATATGTAAAACCACATATCAAATTTACATAGTGCGTAAGCCAAATAACAAGAAAGACCTGCCAGAGATGAGAAATGTATTTGAATGTACTAGATGTGATTCAGTGCATATTCAAGGATATTTGTGCAGACAAAAAGTCATATAAGCACTCTTAGCGATAACTCTTTGTACCCTAAATCCTAATCCAAACACTCCTGATCCTTACTGATAACCCTAGTTAAACCCTTAATACCAAATCCCTAGTCTTTCCCGTTCATTATTAATTATGGAACATGTAATGATTCATCAGTCATGTCAAAACTACTTATTCACTGTTATTTAGTTATTTTTTCTATGATCAAACACTATTTTCTAATAGTTTGATAAGTCGCTCAATGTTGTCAGTATAGTTTAGACTTATAACTTTACTCATACTAAAGCTAAGTATAGTCAAAATCATTAGAATCCATTCAAAAGAATGAAATGTTTAGGTTTAAAAGAATGTTGTATATTTTTCGATCATTGGCTTGAACATCTATACAGTTCACTTATGTATTGAATTCTGTATAAGCTAAACAGACACACAAAATCACCTTTTATTATGATGGCAAAGATAATGAGTTATTTATTTCACCAAACTGATCACTTGAAAACTCTTGATTAGCAATTAGTGTGAATTACCAATACAGTGATATTTAAGATCTTAAATTAATTTAAAACGTATATAAACTGACGTTTGTTGATTCCCATTATTAGAATAAAACTATGGTGATCTGATTGATTTATTGAGTTAACTCATAAGCTTTACTGAAATTTTCCTGTTGAAATCTATATGATGTATTAATTAGTTTACATTTGTCACTAATCTCATCCATAAATGAAAACAAACTACTTTCTGACCAATATATTCAACAATTGGTTTATAAAAACTTGCATTCTCCATCATTACCATTATCAACAAATATTTAGATCATGATTGGCTAGAATAAATCAATATGTAAACAATAAACTGTTGCTTAGTTATGATATCATCTTTTTTCATGGAAAAACAATGATAACAAATATTTACCTTCATTTATTTAAATAAAATCAATTGACATTACAATAATGTTGATGACCGATACCTTTACTGCAGCTCATGACAATTTAATTAAAAATCATGGAACACCGGGATTATGGTTTGCTCATACAGCTGATCATTGTGAAACACCGCCGAAACCACGTGTACGGCTTGATGCCATTGGAATAGCTGATCGTAATAAAAAGCACCTGACAACAGCGGAAATTAGTGGATTCGTGAATGATTTTTCAAATGCTGGAACCAATTTCTCAACTGATGAAACAAACATAGAACAGAAACCACAATTACGTTTAAGAACACCAGAAGCATATGGTATCGCACAAAAGTCAAATCAGAAAGTGATAAATGGTGCGATTTCGCTGAGAATTTACACTATCAACCTGTGGTAAGACCACCTAGAATAGGAACTGGAGAACTTGCCAAAGTAAGTTAATTTACAGTAAATCATTAATGTAAGTATGCAATCTTGGAAGTAATTGAGTAATAAATGAACAGTGACTATGAATAAAGTATACGGAAGGAAAATATTAGCCATAACTAAACATGGTAAAAAACCTAGATCAAAACCATTATAGGCTCAATAGCGATAAACTTCAAGATAAGCTTCCGAATTCCCAGTGATAATTAGTGACTAGTAAGTTTCAAACGTCTCGGAATAAAGGTACGTTACCTGTCAACTCCATTGGATAACGTCATGGTCTGAATGGGCTTCATCCAATCCCTGACTGAACCATAGGTGCTTTTTGTTAAAGAGTCTTAAAGTGGCATAAAAATAATGTTTATTAAGTACTGCGTTTAATGGTTTCTCAGTTGATATCAGTCTGTAAAGAAAAGTAGTTTCAACTATTCATCAGAAACCTCTCACCTAAATAAAACTGTCATGTTAACGTCGTAAGTTTCTCTAGTTTTAGTAAATGTAATAGGATTGATTCTGAAATTTACATACTATTTTGTTGATTAACACTTAACTTTAGAAACTTTTCTATTCGTACTTCAGTGATTGTAGAAGAAGTCAAGTCAAACTTAACCATAATTTGAGCATTAGGACTTATACGGAAGAACATATATTAGTGTCTTGATTTAATAAAGAATTTTATAAATCTTAGTTCTGTTCACATTATATTATTAGGAAGACAAATGTACAACCATAAAATAATTCATTTCATCCAACAATTCTCTTAGCATAATTTGTTTAATTCCACAGCAAACGTCTATGTGAATTAAGGTTAACTCCTAGGAAATATCATTTGATCATAAACTTGGCATAAAATAGGTAGCAAGAGATGAGTCAAGTATGAACAACAATAAAAACTAATATGTTTTTACAGATTCACTAAAAAACTTAAATACAAATAAGGGAGATTGAAGAATGCACTTCGTTATTGATTAGTCCTGGTACGGCCGAGAGTGGGGAGAGTCCGCTCTCCCTCTCGAAATGTTCTCACATGGCCACGCGTATATAGCCTCTGTCAAGGAAGTCCTACTCACTGCCTTCTCCTGGCGGGGGTGCTTTTTACGAAATTGAGAGGACGAAAAGAGAAACGTCAGCGAGTTAACCGGGTTGGTGAAAACGGAGAGTCCACCCAGGGGAGTTAGAAAACCCTGATTCCAAACCAGTGGTGCACATGGGCTTCAGTATCCTGAGTGAACAAATGGCGTATGAACCAGTCGTTGGTCAACAGCTGCCATGGGACTGCATCTCCTTACGATGCTCCACTGCCTTATGGATCAGAACTGTAGGTCGAAGGCTCCGGGTGTGGCTCCCTAAGAAAACCACCTGCTTAGGTTTGGGTACGCGGGCAGTATCACAGCCCTCACATAAATCAAGTGAGATTTGTGTGGCGCATATGTATTTGGTGCATCCTTGTACCAATATCTATGTCTTCAAATAATGATAATCGTAACTTATTAACTAGATTTACTATAATTGAGAAAGAAAATGGTCAATTCTTTTGTTTTCGAGTAAGGGATTCAAATGCTTCTAGAAAATCTGGGATAAAGTTTGAAGTGTGGTAAGCTTTAAGTTTTTTGAATTTATGAGGATTAGTTGCATAGGAATGGATAATGGTTGGTACGGTAAAAATAATTTCACAAATCATTCCCATAGAATATAATCTGTATAAGGATTGCCCTATATTAGAAGTTCATTGAAGCTTGAGTTTTTTTGTTTATTCTGTACCTAATTAGTGGTTGGATGTTTTCATATTCTCTGAGGGATCTGAACACTTTGAATTCAACCCTGCATGGACTCATGATAAGCCCCGATTTTAAAAGTAAAAACCAATTGTGATGTGCTTTCGCCCACATCATTAACGATAATTCCGTAAAATCCATATAAAATTCTTCCGTTCCAAACTACCAATCAAAGCACCATAAGAACCAGTTAAGTATCTGTTTTTTCTATGTTTTTCAGAATCGAAAATTTAGGTGATTGTACGTATGAAGTGCAAGACTAGAACGTACCACAAATAACAAATTTCAGTACATACATGGTGTAGACATCTGGGATTAGTTTTCTGCAATTCATGAGCAGTGAAAGAAAAAACAGCAGTCGAAAAGTCAAATAAAAGCATATATGTAAGGCACTATGAAAATACCACAAACCTGTTGCTCAGTAAATTTACGTTAAAAATATGCACAGTGAATCCCTCAAATGATAACTTCTGAAACATAACATTTTCAATGATTCACCCAGTCATAAAAAATCGAATGAAATTGGAATCGAAACCAATGAAAAGTTGTTTTAAGGAAAGATAAGGATTTGATAATTGTTCCATTTTATTTCAGTATTCTTACAAAAGTAACCTATATCTCTATGTCAGTTCTGAGTTTACTCAATAGGCGATCGTTTATTATGGGATTTTAGATCATTTTCCTTAATATTTAGTTGATTATTCTTATGTTTTTGATAGGTTATTAAAATAATCTAGACACTGGATAAATGATATACCGTATAGAGGTTGTGAATTTTTATATTTACTAGGCTATTTTAAAGAATATGACACAAGAATGTGATTGGTTTAAACATAAACCATTTAGTCAATTAAACGGTGAAATAACTTCTGCTAAAAAAATATCATCCAGTTACAGCCGGCGTAATGAAATGAACAATTGGTTTACACATTCACAAACGAAAGAACCTTCAAGTCACTCTACTTCTAACTATCCAGTTCGTTCAAGAGTAAAGTATGAAGGTGTAGAATATGCAATAAGAGATCGTGTAAGTGGATTGATGCCTTAGTACAGAGATTATGTAACTACGTATTGTAAAACAGTAAATTTATTATTTTGCATAAACTGATGATATTTTATCTCTCCGTAAATAAAATTCATCTTATCGGGTCTATTCTACTTCCATCTATAGGTTCGTTACACTTAGTCCAGTAAAGTTATTAGTTGTCTATAACAAAATATACATCGTATTATCTCTTTTGAAATTTTATATTATTTTATTTGAACATTTATAAGATAATTTAGTTGAGTATTGTCATTGAATGAACAAAGTATATTGATTCTTTAAATGGTTTTATAAGCTTGAATAAATTATTATTATTAAGGTTAGAATGAAGTAGATGTATGTCATGCACTTTTTCAAGTCATTATTTCATGATAAATGGATACAGTACAGGTCTAAATCAGGATTTAATTATCTACGACGATCAGTTCAGCATAATGTTGCAATGTGTGTGTGTGTGTCAATTAACGGTTTGGATTATTTTTAAATAAAGGAATAACATGAAAAAGAAACTTTGATTTATTTACTACATAAGTATTTCGATACACATAAATCCGTTTAAGACGAATGCAAGATGAGTAATTCATTTATCACAAATGGTTAGGTAACATCTGTGTGGTGCAGTTTATTTATGAATAGTAAATTGGGTCAATCTTTGAAATGGTACCAATATACTGATATACTTCTTTTTCTGCATCTGAAATCGATTGTTGAATAAGGAGCTTGTAGTTATTTCAGATACACTAAGTAGCATAGTAAAAGAAGTAATTAAGTGCAAAAGTATACATATTTAAACGGTATTTCAATGAAACTTACCAATAGTATCGTTTGATTCAGTAACTAAGACATGAATGACTTTAGTGAGTGATATTCAAAACATATAGTTTAGACTGATTTTACGAAAATTCTTAGATCTTTTGAAATGAATTGGCCTTACTAACTGATATCAACTGTCTAAGGATAATATGATCACTATATGATCTGATTACCTTGAAGTTAGTATTTATGAATAGTTTCAACCTAGATTAGAAATATTGTTCTATGGTTGATTAATAATGTTTGATTATTTCTGAAAGTAAATACAATAAATTCACTTGATATTGTTTGTTTGAATCTTCTTATTGTTGTTTAGGACTGCAATCGATCAGTCTGTTATTGGCATATATACATACTGTACGTATTGCCTTGATAAAGCCTTAATTCACAAGCACTATATGCAAAGATGGATAGTGGTTAGCAGTGGAATCCAGTTTGACGCGCGTTCCGTCCTATTTAAGACTCGTCAGGTGAATGTGCCTGCGTCGCAGAGTTGATGTTCACTCTGGGACTCGAACTCAGTACAGTTCGCTTCAAACGCCATCGCGTTATCCACAATAAAGATTTGAAAAGTGCATTTTAATTAAATACATAGATGATTATAATAAACTGTGAACTGGATTAAAGCAAAAGTTGATAAATGTAGCTTGTTTTTGGGTTTCGTTTTTTTTTAAACTTAAACGTAACAATAAACCACTATTTGAATGTTTTAAGATTTCATTTTTTTTATATTGAAATAATTAGACTGGAAAAATATAACCATTAAAGATGCACTCGGTTTAGTTACATGACTATTGACAGTTGACTCACTTAGTCTAGTTTTAATTATAGTAATAAAGTTTAACAACCTAGTTTGTTACATTATCACTTCCACATTATATTTTACGAGTTTTCACATAATCACTAAATTATAGTAGGAAACGTTTAGACGATCTACAATTTCAGTTGACTGATCACTGAGTGATGATCAATGTCATGTACGTCAGGTGCTTTTTAGTGCAGATCGAATCCTATCTACCAAGTTGCAATGTGGCCACCAGTCGATAGGATTCGATCTGCACTAAAAAGCATCTGACATACATTACATTAATCACTATGCAGTGATCAATCAATTGTAAATACATCTCAGTCGTACAGGAGGTCAGCCGCGGCCCGGATTGCTCAGTGGTAAGGTCTCTGAACGTGACACGAGATCGAATCCCTTAGGGAGTATCAGTTCCCTCAAGATCACAGATACACCTTGTTGACGAGTGCCAAGTAGCACGAGACCTAAATCCAGGGTTTCTTGTTGACTACCTCCAACCTTCATCTGATCTGTCATTTCTCTTAAGAGATTATTATGACGGTATTTCTATGTATTATGCAGTTGTTATGTCAACGTTTATCTGTCTAAAATATCAATTTACGTTACATCATTAACTGGACAGTCTAACGATGTGTAATTTTGTCTATCACTATAAATAGGAATCCAACTAACTGATAAAGATTGAAAATTATAAAGTATCATTTTATGTTGATGTTAAAATCCTCAAGTTGCATATAGTTGGTAACATTGTTTTGTAGTTACAGATTAGATCAATAATTTTTGATTACTTAACACTTTTTAAATATTCAGTTTTGAAAATAGTGCGCCCTGATGTTTCTTTTTGAGGTCAAAAACCCCTGTTAAACTTGACCAATATTATATACTATGAATGAAAACTGAACTATGACGTCGTTTGATTTGCTTGTTTAGATCTGCAGATGAAGTGGCCTTATGTTATTACGTACCAATATAAAGTTTCGATGATTACAAGTAAAGATTACAAATAGGTGAATATAATTTGTTAGATAAATAATTCATTAAAAATAAATAAATAAGGGTAGAAATAACAAAGCATGACAATTAGTTATAATTTCTAATGTTAATTTCCTAATCCAACTTATTAATTTTTCTTTACAACAGGGTTTAGACGATTTGCTTAGCATGAAAATGTCACCTAACGAACTTTATAGCTCAGTTCCCTATGGATGCCCAACTAAGGAGGCACAAACAATGCTCAGTGGTCTAAAACAGGAACTGAAATGGCGTTGTGTTTAGGCAGAAATTCACAACAGACGAATATTGATAACCACTCGTCTTTGTTAACTCGACCACATTCTGCAACTGTCCGAGGATCTGATGCTGAGCAGTGGAGACTACTTGGTCGCGATGGACACATAAGTAATTCTATGTCTTTAAAAGCTGAAGAAGGTAATTTGTTGTATTCAAACAGGTTGTTTTGACTGAAAGATTGTCGGTGAGAACAAAGTTTCTTCCAGATGTTCTTACTACTATCAACACCATCATTACTACCACTTCTACCACTGAGTCATATACATCTTTCATTGACTTGATATTTTACATATGTGTATATAAATGCAACAATATATTTAAAATAAAGCCTGAAATGGATTGGCTAAAAATAATTACTCTTAGCTTGTATATCTAGCTCTGAGGCAATGGGGATCTTAAATATCTGGAAATAAGATAGTTGTCAATGTCTTATCCCTCTAAAAAATAACGTTTGCTTGGGTTCGTTCCGTATTGTTGTATTCGTTGAATGTTGAGCATATTAATCATTATTTTAAACAACATATAGCCATCCAACAGTCTACCACTGTTATCGTCATTATTACTACTTCCATTGTTTTCTATCTTCATGATCATAATAATGACAATATATCTTAAATAAATCTGTCATTTTCAACTTAATAAACCACTGAATGAACTAAATTAGGATAGTAGGACAAAGTATTCTAAAAGCCACTATATAATAAGTCAGGATGACCGAATATACTAATGCTATGTGACAAGTAAGTTTAGACACATGTGGAAATAAATCATTTAGTAATAGAAAGGGCTTTTAATTACTAATAATTGCCTTCAAACCCCGATTATTAACTCACTGTCTAACTAGACCCAATAACTTAATGAATGTATATTCAAACTGTCATTGTTTACGTCTTCATTTTATTGAAATTAGACCCTTCAAACATTGTGCATCATCGTGTTCGACCAGATGGTGAAATCATTTTAGAGAAATCTGTTTCTGGTTCTCAAGTTATTGATTGCCTGAATATGTGCAATAATAATAAAGACGACAGTAGTACTGCCTTTTCAGGTTACCGTCTAAGAACTGAAGAAGCTCTTGAAGCTATGAAAAGAAACCAAGGTCAAATGTCTGACTACTTAGGTAGTAAAGCAAGTTCAGTAACAAAATGTTATGGAAGAAAGTTTCAGGTAAGCTAATAGGAAATGTATCCTTGGTTCTGGAAACCTTTTTACTAACCTGATAGAAGCTGATATTTCTTTGTTGCTTAACGTCACTTCATAATCTTGCACAACTATGCTGTCCAGTTTGACAGGGCTTTTTTCCAATCGCACTTAGAGATCCGAGAACAGCGATTATAAAAATATATAATTAAATAGTTTATGAAATTCGATCAGCTCAAAGACATTTATCACCACAGTTATATAAATGAAGAAGTTATCTAAAATCTAGAAGTTCTGGACAGTTATTTTCTTCTAACCTGGAAGTCAACCAGCTGTACGACGCCGTGGTCGTAAGACATGAAGAATACAAGTCCAGTCCTGTATGAGCACTATGTCATTCATAATAACTCCATCAGTCATTAGTTTTTTTTTGTTACTTCATGTATTCCCATATGATAGATAGTAAATTAACTATTCTTTTAGTCGTTTGATTTTAGAAAAAAGCTAGTTTATATAGTCACTGAAGCCGTTCCATAAAAACTGTTTAATAAATTTGCAGTTATAGAAGATAATCTTATATACAATCAAGATTTAATTTAAATTTTATTCTCTTTTACACTAATGACTAAATTTAGCTAGACAATTATTGAAAACCAGAAACTATATACAGATGTGGAAATATTTTATTCATCTGTTGTGGTCTCTAGTCTTGAAACTTTAATTCTCAAGTGGGTTTTGTAGATATGTAGATATAAGTTCATATGTGTATAATCTCACATTTTTATGGTTAAAAGTCATCGTTAGCGAGAGATAACATGTTAATTTTATAATTTCTTTTAGTGAAATAATGGTAATTAGCTGTTCGTCGAAAAGATTAATGACATTTTTATTTATCCTTTTCCGATTTCCTCACATAACTGGAAGATTCGTGCTGTAAGAGGATCAGAAGCACATGAAGCTGCATTGAATAATAAAGGTTCTGCCATGAAAGAATTAATCACTCATGATCATCTACCTCCCAGTCCTATTGGATGTGGATTTGCTCATGTTAGTCAAGAAGCCCAGGAAACTGCTAATCTAAGCCGTACAGGTATGATTTCTGGTTTACTTGGTGGTCCTTCAATGTCAAATATTCCACTTGTTGGAGTTGAAGCACGTCCACAAAGACATGTTCAATATGAAGCTATTGAATATGCCAATCGTGATCAAGGCCAAGAAATGAAAAGCATTTTAACACAGAATTGGAAATAAATGAAATCTAGTTAACTTTACAAGGAGAAATAAATGTATTTATGACAAATGATGATTTATCATTTCTCTGTACAATATAGTTACTCATTATGTAGATAGAAAGGTGAGATTATAATCTATGGACGATCTTTGAGCTATGCTAAAGTGACCCTGAGAATGCCCACGCACTAAATGGGACTAAATGAGGATTATGAAGCAGTGCGAGGAATTGGAATTGTGATTTACAGTTGGCGGTTACGGTTAGGAACTAGATTTAGGGTTTTTACCACGAACTGACATAAGCTAAAATGCCAAAACGCTGTTTAGCCAAATGGACGAATGGATTTCGCGCCAAAATCCAAGACCTTTTATCTTATATCTGATTGTTTCCTTCATAAGTTATAGTCTCACCGATGAAAAAATGATACAGATCAGTTAAAATTCGGATGGCTTTGAACAAAGACCTGAACAAAGCAGTAATAAAAAACCTACTAGTATTTCAAGATTTATGGTGCATACTTTAGTTTCTCATTTGAAGAGTCACTATTTAAATAACTAAATTATACAATCAATTGGTATACCAAGTTATTCAAATGAGGGGAGCTATGCTATACTGCCAAGCCCATCAGGATAAGATGGAAAATTTTAGTTTCCTTGGATAAAATTCATATATAATCTCAAATAGCATTCAGCCAGTGGATAGCCTCTTTATAGTATATCATTATTTAACGCTTAATTTGTTTATGATTATTAACAAAAGAATTACTGTGTCATATAATGAAAATGACAACCTGTAAGTGAAACTACACAAAACTCTTACTACTACTTAGGATGACTTGATCAAGAACGTAGAATAATAATAATTGGCTTCTTTTTTATTGAAAGCCAACTTTAGGCATTACAAATGAGTATTCTCGAGTCGTACGAATCGTCTAGAAACGTCAAGTTCGACTTCTACATAGCACTCAGGTAAGGGTCTCGTAGCGTCATTTTGTATGCATTTTACTCACTTTGAACAAACATATTGTGAAACTCGGGAAACTATTGACACTAGTACTTATAATTCGATAAATGACGCAAACACATTGAGGTTTTTTCGAATAAACCAGTATTTGGAGCATAAGTATTTTGGTTTAAAATTATTAAAACCGAACAAAGACCCTGAAGAGCTCAAAGGCCACCAAAAATTAGTATACGTATTTAAATTTAGTTAAATTTTTAGCGTTTTTAACGTCTTTCCATTTATTAACTGGTCAAAGCCAAGTACAGTTGTCAATTAATAAGCAAAATACTTTGTGATCAAGAAGTTCCTACGTTGCGTAATGTAAGAAACAAAGAAGGAACAGAATTTTAACGGATGGTCAATAGGATGGTAGTTACGTAAGAATCAAGAGATGAATGTTGAGAAGTTATTAAGTTCAAAAGCAACAGAAACAAAATTACAAAAGTTTTAAAAAAAAAGTGGAAGAAGTATGAAAAATAGTTCTTTTGAAGGAAATCTTAAACTGATGGCCAGGGCAGGGAAAGTGGTTGTACGAATCTCTTTTGAATGCAAAGGTCAGGTTTGTGAACATGGATTGCGATGGCTTCCGCAATGTGCAAGAGGCGCACTCGTAAACCATGTGGCAAATTAGATGGGATATTGTAGATAACCTTAAAAGCTTTATTCAATTCGACTTGATGACCTGTGTCAACCAAGTGAGAGAGAATAGAACTTTTAATCACTTTTACCTGTCCTTTGTTTAACCACGACGGATGATGTTCAGTAATGCGATGACGGACTTGCCGAATTGTACGCCCAATATAACTGGCTCCACAGGAGCAGTTGAAACGATAGATACACATAGATTTGGCGAATTCAGGCAGTCTGTCTTTGTTGGCTGTTCTTATCTTAGGATAGTTGTAGAAGATTGCATTTAATCTGGCAGCATTAAATGTTTTTTGTACGGCTCTTCTTAGTTTCTGAGTCAAGGTTTCTTCAATGGTGTCATTTATGAATTGTAGTTTTATGAATAGTACCTTCTTATGGACGGTGGGTATCTTTGTCCTTGTTTTCTTCTCCATCATATGTTTGTCGATGAATTTCATGGGATACCCATTCATGCTAAGTAGGTTCCGAATATTATTCAATTCTTCTTCGATGGTGTCTTCAGAGCAAATCATTCTAGCCCGATGTGTCAAGATTTTTATCAAGTTCCTTTTGTATCTGATTGGAACTGCACTATAGAAATGAGTGTATTGTCCTGCTGCAGATTTTCTGTGTACCCCTCTTTTTAAAGTTCCGTCTGCTCTTCTTTTTAGTTGGACATCTAGAAATGATATGCTGTCGTTCTGTTCATCTTCTGATGTAAAATTAATTGATGGATGAACGTTATTAAATGTATTAAGTAAATTGTCCTTATCATTTTCTTTTTCTAGTACTATGAAGGTGTCGTCTATATAGCGATAATAAGTTGGTAAATGGCTAATTATGCTTTTAAGTGGTCCGTTTTCCAGTTTTGCAAGGAAAATATCAGCCAGTAGAGGGCCCAATGGTGATCCCATGGCAACTCCATCTAGCTGTCTATAGTATTCGTTGTCAAATCTGAATTGTGCATTCATTGTGCATCTGAGAATTAACTGTTTTATCGCGGATGCTGGAATCGGGGTTTCTATGCGTCTCTCTGTTAGTTCATTGCAAATAAAATCAACTGTTTCTTGTAGTGGAATGTTAGTGAATAAAGATGATACATCAAGTGATAACATGAAATTATTCTTGACTGATAGATTTTTTATGTTCTCAACAAATTCAAAGGAATCCTTGACACTATGCTTGACAATTTCTTTGTGTAATGGTTTAAGAATTTGCACCAACCATTTTGCTATAGTATGATACGCTGAGTTATTCATATCTAAAACTGGTCGAAGGGGTAAGCCACTTTTGTGTATTTTTGGTAGGCCATATAGTCTTGGTGTCATCGTTCCTGTAGGTTTCAACATTTCGAACATCTTTTCTGAAATAAAACCTTGTTGTTTAATTTCTTTCAGTGAATCTGTTAATTGCTTTTCAATCTTATCTGCTATGTCGTTCTTCACAGCCAGTTTCTGAAATTTGCTTTTATCATTTAAAAGGGCTTTCATTTTGTTTATGTAGTCATTTTTATCCATGAGTACTATTCCATGTCCTTTGTCCGGTTTCATGATTAATAAATTGTCATTAGTTTTAAGTTTTCTTAAAGCTTCTGTATGTTTTTTCGTCAAAATCCCTTTCGTGTTGTGTCTATGATTTAAATATTTAAAACAACAGTCGACTAGTGTTGATTTAAATCTTTCGACATTATCTTTTGATGAAGTTACTAGTTCTGCCGTTTGAGCATAAAGATTTTCGAATTGAATTTCAACGTCCATTTTATTTACTGTTTTCTTGAAGTCACAAAACTTAGGGCCTAATGATAACGCTTCTAACGCAGTTTTATCCAGCATAACACTAGAGAAATTGTGTACGTACTGACCTGGATTGGATGGAAATTTCATTTCTGGGATCTGTTTGTCTAGATTTTTCTTAAGTTTCATTCTTTTCTTTCCCTTTCTTGAGTTAACAACCATCTCCACATAGTCCAGATACTGATCTCTTAATTTATCAGGGAGATCATCTACAGCATAAATTCTCTCGTTGATATTTTTAACCATCTCGGCAATGTATGAGTTCAAAGAATCGATTGGTTAAGGGCGTAGCGTTTGAGAGTCTTTCCATTTGGTCGAACTCGAGAGCGACGTAAAGATTTCCAATACAACTTTGGATACAAGTTGGTCATCAAGTCGAATTGAATAAAGCTTTTAAGGTTATCTACAATATCCCATCTAATTTGCCACATGGTTTACGAGTACGCCTCTTGCACATTGTGGAAGCCATCGCAATCCATGTTCACAAACCTGACCTTTGCATTCAAAAGAGATTCGTACAACCACTTTCCCTGCCCCGGCCATCAGTTTAAAACTTCCTTCAAAAGAACTATTGTTTATAATTCTTCCACTTGGTTTTTTTTAAACTTGTAATTTTGTTTCTGTTGCTTTTGAACTTAATAACTTCTCAACATTCATCTCTTGATTCTTACGTAACTACCATCCTATTGACCATCCGTTAAAATTCCGTTCCTTCTTTTTTCTTACATTACGCAACGTAGGAACTTCTTGATCACTTTGAATATTAATAATCCTCTTTCTTCCAATTAATCAATGTTAATTTAAATGTCATTATGTAATTATTACGTAACATATCTACTCGATGAGTATTATATTATTATTGTAAAACGTATATATATTAGTGTAGAGCCATGATGAAAACTAATTGAAAAGAAATTTCTTCGCTCAGTTCGTTCCTTCTTTATTTACCAAATGGCAAAATGGGAATTTTCAAAATACTTTGTCATATGTATTTAACTACTTATTAGTAGAATATATTTTCTTCAAGAAACCTCGCTCGTCATTTGCGTTTCGAATCGCATCACACGTAAGGTCAGAAAATTATGGGATTATTAACTAACTCACTTTCTGAATATCTGAGATAGCTTCTGCTGGCCGAGCGTCATTGTGAAACACATAAAAGGGATGTGCGTTATCCTATGGTTTCCAATCAGTCTTCAGTTGATGTCATAAATATGAAGTAAAATAATCTTCAAAACTATTCAAAACACTTAATAGTCTCTATTTCACACATCCCAAATCACGTCAGTCAGATTATATCTAAGTCTATCATAACGTTTATTTGCAAGGTCGAATATTATATTTTCATATATACATGAATATTTATAGATAATCAAACATAACTTTACTAACAGGTTGGCATTATTTTCCATATTGAAAGTGGTTTAGAGGAATGTCGACTAAAATCATGAGATAACCATGACAAAATGGCTGGAGAAAAAGAAAGAAAGTTAACGAACATTGTCTCAGCCACTTCACATAAATCTACTGTGTTCATTACAAAGGCTTGACACATTTTATTAGTGTGTGAAATATCAGACTATATCGTTATTGTTGGA